ATTTCCAATTTCAATTATAATTTTTTAAGGTTCTCTGTTAACTAATTTTCTTGAAATGATTTAACTGATTATATATCTGGCATTTTCTGATGTAGGCTGTTGCAAATGTTAATGCTATCATAGGACCTGCTCTTATTGGCAAGGTGAGTGCTACAAGATTTTACATGATAGCTGCGTAGGATTCAGTCTTGGAAAGTAGTGATTAACTTTATAAACTATTAAAAAACTTGACCTCTGCTATTTGTCTTGCAGGATCCAACAGAACAGGTTGAGATTGATAATTTCATGGTCCAACAGCTTGATGGAACCTCAAATGAGTGGGGTTGGTGCAAACAAAAGGTACAATTACAATTTGTTAGTAACTTTCATATTTTTTCTAGTGCTGCAAAAGGATGCATTGTTTTGCTTTAATTCACATTCTGACTTTATTTTCGGTTGCATATTGCAGCTAGGGGCAAATGCTATACTGGCTGTTTCTCTTGCTGTGTGCAAAGCTGGAGCCAGTGTGAAGAAGATTCCTCTTTACCAGGTTTGTGAAACCTAGTTTCATCGTTCTTGGCAAACTGATGTCCATTTCTAATATATGCTATTATTTCACTTCAGCATATTGCTAACATTGCTGGAAACAAGAACTTGGTGTTGCCTGTACCAGCTTTTAATGTTATTAATGGTGGATCACATGCTGGAAATAAGCTTGCCATGCAGGTAATGCTCCATTGCCATCTGTTGTTAAGTAAACAGCCAGTCCTCCTTTTTCTCATTCTTGGCTTCTTTTAGGAGTTTATGATTCTTCCTGTTGGGGCATCCTCATTTAAAGAGGCCATGAAAATGGGTGTGGAAGTTTATCATAATTTGAAGGTAAAGATATTATGGATTTATGGTCTTTGATTTTGCTTTTCCTTCTCAGTGCATCATTATTTGTTTTCTTGGTCTTCAGGGTGTAATCAAGAAAAAGTATGGACAGGATGCTACTAATGTTGGTGATGAAGGGGGTTTCGCTCCAAACATTCAGGTGGGTCCGATTATTAGTGGAAATTATTATGTCTATTGCAACTTGGTCTTCTTTGATAGGCACACATGTTCTTTACCCAAATTCTGAAACAAGTACCTTTATTGAACGAATTTCAGGTTGCAATTTTGACTTTTCTTTAGACCCTTATGGTTCCTAAAATATGCCAGGGAACATTAGAGTAGTTAAGTATCTTCAATTTAATGCATTAGATGAGTTAAAGCAAATGCTCGAGAACTTAAAATCATATTTCAATTTCTTTTCCTTGCTTCAACACCTCTGACTTGTTTTATTAGCTGACTTGCATCTTTTGCTTTGTACGGCTACCATTATCATAGGTAGAGGAGGAAATATCACACTCATTTGAAGTACTAGTTTTGGAAGGATTAAGGTTCTGTGTTCCATCCTGGTGTTTGCTGGTTATTCTCCCACTATGTTCTTTGATACAAACTTCAGACACTGCGTTGTGATAGACTTCACAATCCTAGGTAGAGTAGGAAATATCACACTCAGTAGAAGTACAAGTTTTGGAAAGATTGAGGTTCTGTGTTCCATCGTAGTGCTTGCTGATTATTCTCCCACTATGTACTTTGATACAAACTGCAGACACTGCATTGTGATAGACTTTACAATCTTTATATTAAACACACCTCTACCACGGACATGGTAAATTGGCACAGATAGAACCATTATAAAACAATATATCATTTCATATAACAATCTTGTTCTTCATAATTGCAATATCCATACTGCATTTCCTTTGTTTTTTCCTTCCCCTCTTCTATTGTTGTTTACGGTTAGAATATGAATCTAATGTTAACATGCGCCATCATCAGTGGAACTTGTTTGTCTAAAGTAATGGAATTTTGATCAGCTTCTTTAATGGTCTGGGCATGTTGTTTCCTCCTGAACTTAACAGGAAAACAAAGAAGGCCTTGAACTTTTGAAGACTGCGATAGCGAAAGCTGGATACACTGGCAAGGTAACATAAGTATCTTTATTTCCATGCAGTTCTTGATTTTCTCAGCAACGTCTGTGCCTGCTCAAGGAAACACTTTGCTTGGGGATTTCAGGTTGTTATTGGGATGGATGTTGCTGCTTCAGAATTTTATAGTGATGGTGATAAGACTTATGACCTTAACTTCAAGGAGGAGGTAATGTCTAGTTTTGCTTCTGAGAGATCTCTACTAAATTGAAATTGGTATTTGTGATGAGATGGCTACGTGGACCTTGTCTTGCTGTGTTTTATTTTTTGATTCTAATGTTTAGAGTGATTTGTTACATTAGATTTTTTGAACACCACTGGGCCTCCAGTAGTACCAACCAACGGCTGCTTGCTGAACTGAAATTCCCTGGTTTTTTTCACTGCAGAACAATGATGGTTCACAAAAAATATCAGGCGACAAATTGAAAGATGTCTACAAGTCTTTCGTATCCGAATATCCAATTGTGTCCATCGAAGATCCATTTGATCAGGATGATTGGACCCATTATGCCAAGATGACTGAAGAAATTGGGCAGCAGGTCCAGATTGTAGGGGATGATCTTCTTGTCACAAACCCCACGGTAAATTTTGATAGGTGATGCAAGTTGCAGCTCTAAAGAGCTCTAAAGATTGTGATTATAATCCTTAACTTTTGATAAACTGTTTCAGAGGGTGTCCAAGGCAATCAACGAAAACGCATGCAATGCCCTTCTCTTGAAGGTAGTATTGGATTCCTTATCTTTTACAAAAGCATATTATTAATCTCCATCCTTCCAATTTGGTTGCAGTTGTTTAGGGATCTACTTCTTCACCAAGTGCTATGCTTGAGATTTATTTTGTGCCAAGTCATAGTTATATTTATTGTGGTACCCATAATTCTCAGGGTTTTTGTTTTAGTCCACTGCTGATGAGGTTAATCCCCGTTGTGGACAGGTTAATCAAATAGGAACTGTTACAGAGAGTATAGAAGCTGTGAAAATGTCTAAGCGTGCTGGCTGGGGTGTAATGGCAAGCCACCGAAGGTACTGACATGCGATGCATTTGGATTGTATGTGGTTTTGATCTAACTTTATTTTACCTACTTCAGTGGTGAAACAGAGGATACATTTATTGCTGATCTCTCTGTCGGTTTAGCAACTGTAAGTTTCTGTTTCTTGTTTTTGTTGCGTATCATTCAAATGACTGTAATATTTAAGCTTTCGGACAATAGTCCTACTAAACCCATCTTAATCTCCCACCCTAACAGGGACAGATCAAGACAGGAGCTCCATGCCGCTCAGAGCGCCTTGCCAAGTATAACCAGGCAAGTCACTTGTATGATGTGGTTTGTTTTGCTGTATCTTCTTCATTTTGGTCTAGTCTTTAGTCCAAGCATGAACATAATAATGTATGTTTAAACATCATCTTTCTCACCGATAGTTTGCCTAGTTCTTAAAAAGTGCCTCGTCCATTCCGTTCCAGAGTATGGTTAAGTCGGGCATAGTACAGAAACACTGGGGTGATGCAGTTTGATTCATCTTTGGTATGATAGCTAGAGAAGACCACTAGAGATGAATGAAAACCATGTTTTTAGTAAGATATTACTATTAATCCTGAAACTGTTATTTGCTCTTTTTATGAAACTAATTTTTTTAACATTATTGTCAAAATCCTTCTTCTGCACATATCAGAATTTTGCATTCGAGTTTATCACAGAAGCGGTAAGATTATGGTTGGTATGAAGTATTTGAACAGTATTATGTTGGATGCAGCTGCTCAGGATCGAAGAGGAGCTCGGCGATGCTGCAGTCTATGCCGGGGTCAAATTTAGGGCACCCGTGGAGCCTTATTAGATGGAGCTGCTAAACTAAGACACTCGTTGCTGAGTTCTGTGATTTTGGTGTGTCCCTGTTTGGGTGGGTATGGTATGTCGGAAGTATGTCATCTGTGTTTTAGCAGTTGGCAGAATAAGTGATTGTTTTGGTATGTGGTCGACAATGACAGCGTTATCGTGGGTTGGGATTTTCATCGTTTCTCATCTGGTTGAAGTTTGTAGAAATCTCTCTTGCCAAAGAGATTACATGTTGTTTATTGAGTGATTTCTTCTTGGGATGCATATGATTTTGGTGGGAAAATATAGATGGTGAAATGTTGGTGGGAAATATATTCATATTACCTAGAAAAAACTCAGTATTATTAATTCAAACACTGTTATCAAGCAAGAAAACTGACATATTTTTATTGTGTTATTTTCTGTGAAGTAAATAAGATAATGTAATAATTTATTATTTCTGAATTCTTATGGGGAAAGAAATATAATGAATATCTTGAACTTCTTTATATAATTATTTTAGTCATTCAAAATCATTTTAATTAAACCTCAGATTCCTATTTATATAATCATATGGTTTTCTATTATGAAACCATAACTCTTTTTTAAATATTTTCATCTATCAATTTTGGTGTAGGAGAGTGAGATGTTTGATTGTAATTGGAAATTGAAGGGTGAAAATTTTATTGAAAGATATAGAGGGTGAAATATGTTGGTATAGTTTTTCTTATATTTAATTTGGTACTTAAATTAAATATTTTTAATGACTATTTATGAGAAATAAGAAAATAATTAAACTATAATATAAATTATAATTATATTATTGAGATTTTTATTTTTATAATATACTGTTCTATTTTTTTTTTGCTCATAATTAGATCTCGCAACATAACTTTTTTCACAATATAACTTCCTACTAATTATATTTCTTATTAAGAATAATAAATCAAAAAATTTCTCTTGAGCTAACCTAAACCTCATATCTAAATTTTCCAAGTATCTTTGGCCCTAAATAGGAAAAGAATAACTAAAACCAGTTGAAGTCCATGAAATGGACAAAGGAGAATCTAACCTTATCATCCACTTTAATGATGCAAAAAGCTCCATAGTTGATGTAGAAATTTCAAACAACAAAGACCATAAAGTTCACCAAAGTGGGAAGCCAATTGACCAAAGTTTCCGTCGTCAAAAGTCAGTACTAAACATCAATTCCATATACACAAAAGTGTCCCTAACATTGCAAAAGACAAAGCTATGAATACAGTCCGGCAATCACACACCGCCACCGCCGCCGCTACTATCTTTCTTCTTCTTCCTCCCACAGTAACATCTATTCCGATTGCTTCACTATATCCTTTCCCTCCAGCCATCTGTTATGTACACAGACACAATTTGGAGGCAATGGAAGCAGAGTTTGAGTTTAGTGTCTATACACAGACACAGAGGTAGACCTCAAGAACAGGACTTGATCAACCCCAGATTGTACAGGTTTCTCCTGAACAGATTTCCCAGGTAGAACAGGCCGATGCCAACGGCACCACCACCACCCTGGTCGTCGGGAGCGGCCGCCTTGCGGCGGAACTGCGGCCGCTGCTCCTCCTTCACCGTAAGACAATCCGGGCCGATCCGCAGCCGGACGGCGTCGATCGCCTTGGGATCTGCCGGTCGCCCGGCGGCGTCGGTCACGTAGAACACGTTGGAGGCCATGTCGCCCTTCGTCGAGACCTCGGCTCTCGTGACCAACAGGCTGTTCTCTCGGAACGTCCGCGTCACCTCCGAGAGGAGCCCTGGCTTGTCCTCGATGCAGAGCTCTAATCTTATCCCCTGTTGTCGATTACAGGGTCAAAATCTGAACAAGAATGCTTCTTCCATGGCGGAATTAATTGGAACTTTTGCGATCGATTACCTCTGATGATCTCCTCTCGATTGCTGCTTGCAAGCATTGGATCACCCTTTGTCTCTCTGCTTCCGAGCTGACGGGGCTGCCATCTTTGTGCCTCACGTAGAACTCCTGAATTGATCCAACAGATCGAAAAAATTAGGGCGGCAAACAGAGAAAGATCGCAACTTTTTGGAATCTGGTGAATCTTGACGAGAAAAAGGTCAAACCTGATGAGCTAAATCGCCGTCGGTGTCGATGGTGCCGTGGAACACGACGTATTCCATGTCCGTGAGAGTGCACACGATGTCGAACAACAGCTTGGGCCGGTCGCGGCACTGTACGGTGACGACGGAGTACCCCCTTTCGACCCAGTTTTGGATCGAGACGGAGGGCCGCGTGGACGCCGGTGGCGATGGAGGCGTCCGCTCGTAGTCGCGGTCCGCGAACATCATCTGGTGGAGGCGGCGGTCGGTCTGGGCGACGGCCATGGAGGAGACAGCGGTTCGGGCGCCGCAGACGCCGTGGTCGCACTTGAGGACGTGGCGGAGGCGGGACTCGATGTGGTGAATCCGCCGCGCGTCGGCGTCGATGGGGGAGCCGGAGAGCTCGTCCTTGACGGAGACGAGGCAGGCGATTCGGCCGTTGTGCGTCCACACCTTGGCCTCCACCACCCCGCACCCGAGATCGGCGAGCACGGCGAAAACCTCGGAAAGGAGGCCCGGGCGGTCGGCGCCGGTGAGCTCCAGGGTGGTGAGGCCCTCCTCGGCGCAGGACCGGTGGAGCCCATGGTCCTCCGTGTCCAAAGACTGCGTTTATATCAGTGGGTGAGCAACTGCCGAACCGAAAGGGCAAATCTTTGGCGTCAATCACGCAAGACAGAGATGGATCGGCACCTGTTCGAGGTAGGAGATGACGCTGTCGTCGGCGAGCTTGCGGCCAAACTGGTCGGTGACGTGGAAGACGTCCATGAACCAGCGGCCGTCAGAGGAGATGTAGGCCTTCTTGACGGAAAGATTGAGGTCGGTGAGGACCTGGACGGCCTCGAGGAGGATTCCATGCTTCCTGGCGCTGTCCACCTTGGGTTGATTGCCATAACACACCGTCAGGGAGAGCTCTGTTACTCTTTCTGCTCCATAGAACAGAAAGAAAAAAAAAAATGTCGGCTTGGAACGAAAACTTTCTTTCGGCTTACCTTGACGAGAGTCGCGGTGGGGCAGACGGCATTGTCGATGACAACCCTGCAACAGAGAGCCAGAAAACAGAGGAACGTCAGGCAGAGCTTCTAAAGGAAGAAGATGGAAAGCTCTCGATACCGGCAGAGCAAAATCGACAGATCTGAAGCGGCAAAGCTAAACCTAACTAAAGCAGAGCTTACAAATCACCTCGGGTTGTTCATCCGAATGACGAGCTTCTCGTACTCATTCAAGTACGCCGGCCATTCCATCTCCGCCGCTTTCTCTGCGCCTCCTCGCTCCATTCCGGCTGAGTACCTCTTCAGCTCACAGAGCCAGAGCTCTTCTCCCTCACCCACAGCCCTTCCTGATCTTTGTTGTGATCCTCACACAGAAAGGCCGCAGCAGCAAAGGTCTGCCTTCTCTTACTCGCCTGCGATTGCTTTGGTCCAAACCCCGCTCTTTCCTGCAACCAATCGCCCCCTTCTCTCTCTCTCGACTCTGTCTCTACCACTTCAAGAAACGACAGCGGAGGCCGACGGCTGTGCGCGGCAGCGGCATATTTAAAGCGGGAACCCGCGGCGGGTCACGGTAAACCGGAACGGTCCTCACAACCCATCCACCCTCCACTTCACCGGCCGCTGGGGCCCACTCCGCGACATGTCGACGGGATCTTCGCTTTCCTTGGGGACAAGCCTGTGTCGGGTCCTCGCGTGCCGATACCTCCGATGGGGGACAACGTGGTCGAACGTGGGTTGCCGCCGCTCGCCCTAAATCTTAGAATGCTACAGCCATCAGTCTCTCTCTCTCTCTCTCTCTATGGTAGGATGTTACTGTTTGCTACAAATCTATGCCGAGGGGGTGTTGTTTGGATCGGCAATCCTGCAGATTTGTTGTTTGCTGTGGCGTTACTGTTGCACATTCGTAGGTTAGATAGGTTGGATGACATGCAGGCATCCCAACACAACTCACTCTGCATGCATTTTAATGGCTAACTGTGGTCATTGTCAGGAGAAGCGAGACAAACAATGATTAGGTCATCCGCATGCGTGTTGAACAGCTGCCACAGGTGGAAGGAGAAAGCATGCAAACTGTGATCACATGTCCTCCATTAAAGACGACGACGAGCGTCATCGCAAGGTCATGCCACTCCACGACTTCTCCATCATCTCCTACCTTTCTCTTCCTCTACCGTAACCGAGTCAGATTTCTCTAACCATTAGCACAACAAAACACAGCTATGATATTATATCGGCTCAAGTCACGTAGTTTGGCGTGGATGTAATGCATGATTCCGTGTGTTTCCCGCATGACCTCGCCATGTCGGAGACGCAGGTATTCAATGCCTTCGTCGTGCGCCACACCTTGTCGGCAATGATGTGTAGAGAGAGAGAGAGAGAGAGAGAAGCGGCTGTGCATCAAACCTCCGCATGATCGGTCAACGCCTGGGCGACGTGCTGAAACTTGCCTGCTAAATCTCAAGGCCTGCATCAAAAGTCAACCGTTACATATCAAGCTGTTCATCAAAAGTCAGCGCATAGATTACCAATGTAGATCAGATACTTCTCAATCAGACAATTAGCATAGAGATGTGTATGTGATTAAACATGCTCTAAAACATGGCTCATTTCACCCAAACAATATCAATCATGATTCATGCCCTTCTGTGATGATCATACAACCTAATTTAATCAACTGAAAGGAATCTTAAAATAACATTAAAATATAGGAAATAATTTGTATGTTCGAAGATTAATGTATCCTTAAATCGTTACATTTATCGATATCTGTTGTAAAATATCTTCATATGGGATCCTTATATTTACGAAAGTTAAATATTAAAATTTTTGTATAGAATTAAAAAGATAATTTTACAGGATTAAAAATTAAGAGAGAAAAAATATTTTATTTTCATAAATACAAAAATCTTAATCTAACTTTTAAAAATATAAAAATATAAAAAAAAATAATTATAGAGGATAATATATAATTAACCGTTACAGAAAGAGACATAAGTTTGGAGTGAGTCATCACCGCGACCAAATCCATCCCGAGATCCTGTCAGCAAACTGTAACCCTAAAGTCGGATGTCAAACGAAAGAGGGGGAAAGGGAATGGCGGGAAACGAAGGAAAGCGGCGGCGGGCTTGTTCCCGCCAAGTCTGCCGCTCGCCACGCTGTTCCTGCCACGTCAGTAACGGTAGTGTACTGCGTCCAACCCAAACTAAGCTCGATAAAAGAAGAGAAAGCTGAGGAGGCGGCGAGCAAATCGATGGCTTTGAATCTTTTACTCGTCTTTCTTTTGTATTGTGTTGATCCCATGAACGCATGAGGAGACAGCTACCGGACACGGCGGCATTGTCTTAATTGCCGTGTCACAGTCGCAGCAAACCAGAGGAGGTGCGGTCGCTGCCATTCGATGAACACAAGCTTTTCGCCACAATGCGGCATACGTTGCTTGACTTCAAAAGCTACGGTATATTGTATTGAATCGTTCTTGTTTTCCTTCTCATATGATCTGTTCATAGTTACTAAGGATCTACGCCAGAGAATACACAAGGCGACTCAAATATGCTAGAAAAGTTGGATTTTTCCCCCCTTAAATTATGTTGTTTTCCTGAGAATAAAAGCAAGTTCAGTGTCACCAAATTCAAAGAGATTTATACACCGAGTGGTCCTGCTTTCAAATCTGGAGTTTCTCGAGGTCAGAGAAACAGTAAAGCACGTACATGTCCCAATTTGCGGATTTTGTGCTGCCAAAAGATAACCATAACATAAATATCAGATCTTTGTGTTTAGATCTTCTTAGCAGGCAAGAGATGAGCGATCAGGTGAGAAGAAGACCTCCTCGGAGAAGGTGTCACGATTCAAAACAGTGGTGGAGCCTTTTTCGGAACCCTTTCTTCCACACCGGTGTCCCACAAAACCCTCGGTAGCAGGAGTAGTCGACGCTCCCCTGCGCATGCCATTCGCATGAGCCATGGCCAGCTTGGTGTCCCAGTAGCTCCTCATCAATGGCGAACCAGCAGACCCGGGTTTTCCGGTAGCTTCAGAGAACAGCATGTTGAGGAGGCAATGGTGACTCCATGAATTTGAGGAGGATGTTCTTGTTAGAAACCACCCCATGTCTTGTCTTCGATCTTCAAATTTAGATTCCCCAACAACAGTACAATAAATCTTGTCATGCATTTTGCATCTGGTAAGAAGGGACCATCGGTGGTATGGGTCCTGCCAATCACATGAGAGCTGCAACTCAGCAGTTCTTGGATACTGCTGTGTTGGGTCCATATGGGAGACTGGTATTAATGCTCACGACAGTTGCATCAATTATCATTCTTCCAAGCTTGATAATTTAGTGTTGGAAGGCAGTCGATTCAGATCATATGTAGGCACAGTGAGTGGCCTGCACTCTGTTCTTTAGGATCACTCCTTTGTCACGAGATTTCAGTGTCTCAGCCTCGCAAAAATTAAGGTGATGATGAAGAGTTCTGGCCGCAGTCATAATGAAAGCTAGCGGAGAGTCATTACAAGAACTGATAAGAATCACAGCACTGGATTATTCAGGACCACTGCATCCGGGCACAGAACTCTGCTGCTGGATGTGCCATGGCACACTGGCCCCTAAATCTTTGTGATCTGGAGCAGTCATAGCTCCATCTGCATTGGCCATCACCGTGGTGCTCAATAAATCCTGCATGCTAGCCTACACTGAGGTCAATCGAAGCATCAATTAGGACGTTTCTCCCCTTTCTTTCCCCATGCAAACGAATCAAGTAATTACTCGACAAGAAGATCTCCGAGTGAGATTACCAAACAAACTTGATGCAATGATGAGTGAGCCAACATGGTGCTCAAGTCCAAGGACTCTGCAGCCTCGACAGACAGACAATACATGTTCCACAGTGGCAAGGAAGATGAGCTACTAACCTCAACTTTCTGGATCGGCTGCTCTTTGCCGACCTGGTTGATTCAACTGCAGTCCATGTTGCATCACGGTGGGGTGGAGTGGAAGATGGAGGTGTCAGATGCGGAGATCAGTGGCCACAGGAAGAGTGGTTGGAAGCGATGAAGCCGTGGAGACAAGCTGCTGGTTTCATGAGCCTGTTTGGAGACAAGCTGCTCCACCGAGCCTTATGATAGACGAAGAATACAGCAGAAGAAGACAGCGTTTTGGTCCACCGGTGATGTGATGTGGACCGAATCGGTTCAGCAGACGGGCCCTAATTGGGCCAGAAAACATTGACCGGCCTTTGGCCCATTTCTCTCATGTTCCGTGGAGATCTTATCTCTTGAAGGCACATTGTCTGGGAGCCATTGCACACTGTTCGGTGTTCCATACTGTACTAACAGGAAAGAGGAACATAAAAAGAAATCTATACCAAAGATTAGGACAATAAAAAACAAAAATGTTCTTTTACTAAGTATCACTTTGTTCTGAAAACACATTTGGTGTTGTGAAAAAGATACATTCAAATAACCATAGAAAGTTGATTGGTCTTTTAGTGTATAACAATCATCAGACATTTATGGGTGAGCAGAAAGCTGCTTGCTAACGCTGTACAAACGGATGGTGATGCCACTTCGCGTGGGATGAGGACATGCAAGCAGGTGTGGGAAGAGGACAGCAGACGAGTCCAAAGCAATCGCCATCACTCACATGAACGCTCTTTCTCTCTCTCTCTCTCTCTCTCTCTCTGGTCGGCCGCGCCGGCATTACCAAATAAAATAGTCCCCAAGATGCTCGCTGCCATGAGCATTAGTTTAGGCTCGGTGCAAGTCCTCTCCGGGAGGATGAGGAGCACCTATCGTTGCTTACTCTTGGCTCAAAGAATGGACTCCCATGAAAGCGAAAGCTTTGGTGTTTTACCGACGCGGTGCAGCTGTTAGTGCCGGTCACATGGACGTGGATGATGTACATGTTTAGTGGAGATGTTAATCATCAGTTGGCGAAGAGTATAATATACGTGAATGAAGGGGGGAGGAATCAATCAAGCTGATGACTTTGGAACTCACGACTTCTATGCTCATAAAAGCTACAGGCTGCTGCAGTGTGGAGTCTGATGAGTTCCATCTGCTGTCATGTAATCTAAGAATGCCACACCTAAAGCACACATGCCGATCGTTCTCTCAAGCAAGTTCGAGTTTATCTAGTTCCAGCAAGCAGTCACAGTCAGTCACCATGCTCGCCGTAAGAATCTCTTCAACACATCAATCAAAAAGGCTTCACAGAGAGAGCGACCGAGCGAGAGAGAGAGAGAGAGAGAGGGGTGGAGCAGCAATGCAAACGCATGTGCATGCAGTTTCTGAGGCGGCCATGCCGCCAAGTCCTCGAGAGTGCCTCGTAATGTACACGACAGTGGGGCATCTGCATGTGGGCGTGTGCGATCACTGCCAGTCCGTCGTGATGGAGCTTCTCGGGGAACACGAAGAGGCCGATGCTACGGCAATGGCTCGTGGCGTGCTGCTGTCAGCACGGAGCTCTTCGTTCTTGGAGCTTGCAGCACGCAGGCCCTCTCTTCATCACCACCCCCTCGATCTCTTCCCCTGGTCAAATGGATCCACAGGCAAAGCACATCTGGGAGACCGCTCGCCCATGCATGCCTCTTATATAAGTATTTTTGAATATATTATAAATATAATATCTTTACAAAAATACTGTAACTTAGTATTCTTATATTATGTTATAATATTTTTTGATATTATTGAAAAATATTATAACACAGTAAAATCAATTCATATTTTAGATATTAGATTAAAAAAATGGACACTTTGAGAATCAAAGATGCTTCTCGAGAAAAAAATAGTTAAATAAATATATAATACTATATAAAAAATATATATAATTCCCTAAGGAGAAAGTTTTCGGATTAAAAATACAAAAAAACATAGAGACTATTCTTCTGCAAACATAAAAATATTCAT